TCGGGCCGGTAAAACACGGAGAGCACAGACCGAGTCGGCTGCTCCACCTGACTGTGGAAGAACGCGCTACCGTAGTACGGCAGCGACCAGCAGAACTCGAGGTACTTGCGCACCAGCTTGCGGCGCGTGGCACCGCTCGGTATGCTGCGGAACTGTTCGATGATGCGCGCCTCGGCGCTGGCTTTGCCTCCGATCTTGCTGATGAGGGACCAGCTGTGGCTGATGACGTGGTCTGGGAGGTACTCGGAGATGTGTGACCTGCGGGGGGCGGAAGTGTGTTGATGATGGTAGGCTCTTGTCTTATTGAATCTAGAATCATTGAATTGACATAAGGAGGAATGCCGATTGTCGTTGTGACACAATTTCAGACAGAAACATGTTATAAGCACGCACACAAGTCAGTAATGGAGGTAGGTCTTTCCGAATAATTCACTATCACATTCATTATTTTCATTAAATTCGTTGCAGGAAAGTCACTGCCCACTGGAGAGTGCGCTACAAGGTGTCGCTAATATCTGGGAAGCTCACCTGAAGAAGTCTGGCGTGTGTATCTCGGCGTCGAAGGCCCCGAGCTCGAGTCGCGCCTGCAGGCCGGCCAGCATGTCATAGTCGCTGGCCTCGCACGGATAGCGACCCTCGAGGATGTTGAACTTGGCCTCTTCGTACAGCAGCTCCAGGACTCTCGGGTCTCTGAAGTCATGGGGGTGGTATGTAATGCATCACTCACAAAACAGACCGACTGAGGCGCGCAGGCCAGTGCACCATGCATCGTGCGAGACCAAACCTTTACAATGCAATTACGCCTAGGTTCCTTACCAAACATTTTTTTGCACGCATTCATGAGTGATTCTGGCACCTGGCACTAAAACCCCTTGGATCCTTACCGTATTTTCATTTCATCCTTCTTTGAAAAGAAGACGTTGCGCTGAAAGGAGACGATGGGCTCGTCCTTGAGGATCTGCTCCTCGTCGGCCGAGGAGTATTTGCTGAGCAGGGTGCGCCACTCGCGGCGTATGTGGAACGGCTTGTGGTGCGGCTTCAGCTGGATCTCTGCCGGAGAGAGAGGAACGGTGTGATGGGCCGTGTACAACTTGGAATTCTAAACGTGAGAGAAATTGCAATAGTAGAAAGTAAACTAGAAACGATTTTGACGCTTCCAAACAAGTCATGAATAATAATTTAATCGGAAACGCGCGTGAATGCGCATTCACGGCATTTGGTAAGATTGGACCATGGTTTCCTTTTTTCATGATCACATTAGGGAAATCATCCGTGATACGAAGAAATACATACGCAACGTGCTCAATAAATACAAGCAATATCGAAAGGAACTTGCTTGAAGTGCGTTCCATTCCATATCATAATCTATAATGCCGTAATTAGATAATGAAATACATAACCTGGACTAAATGCTAGTTTTACATTTGAGTTTCGTAACTTCGGTGGCATCGGTCGCGGTTCACTGATTCGTTTCAAAATGTTTGAACGTCACGAATATTGCAGTGACAGTTTAAATTGATAGCGCCTGGTGGACCGATTGACCATGCGACCGACAGTCACGTAGGTGAGTGCTCAATTACAAAATGTCAACCATCGCACCGTGCTGAATAAATAAAATCATCATCAAATGTCACAGCCTTCGGAAGCTCACTTGGGTACAATATCATTTTCACTCAGCCGCTATAGCGGCCTATAGGCCCCTGACACCAATTAGCTCTTCGGTCTTCCCACTCTTTCCTTCTCTCCCTCTCTCTCTCTCTCTCTCTCTCTCTCTCTCTCTCTTCCTCTCTTCTTCTTCTTCTTCTTCTTCTCCTTATTCTTCTTCCTCTTCTTCTTCTTCTTCTTCTTCTTCTTCTTCTTCTTCTTCTTCTTCTTCTTCTTCTTCTTCTTCTTCTTCTCATTCCTTTCTCTCTCAATCTCTCCATCTGTAGGCTCTCTACTTTCCCTTCCCTCTTTTCTTTCCTCTCAGTCCCCCCATTCTGTCTCCTCCCTTTCCCCCCCCCCCCTCTCTCTCTCTCTCTCTCTCGCTCTCTTAGAAGAAACATGAATCTCTCTCCCTCTCCCTCTCTCTCCCTCTCCCTCTCTCACCGAGATGTGACGATGTCATCCAGATGCCGAACACCTGGGCGGCCAGCGGCGGCAGGCCCAGGTCCTCCTCCTCCATAACACACTGCTGGAGCTGAGTGGCCGTCAGCTCCGCTCCGTCATCAGCCTGCAGCCGGACCGCCTGCTGCGACATCAGGTACACGCACACCTCCAGCGGCGCCACTGAAAAAAAAAACGGGGGGAGGGAGGTTAGAGAGAGGTGAGTCTGGTATGTCTATAGGGACAAGTGCTAGTCGTAGATGGAGATCAAGAAGCAGCCTCCTTTATGTAACGGGGATCGATAGAGGTTGATTCCCGGGTTTGTGCAAAGGCCGGTGTAGCAAATTTATATAACGATACGTGCTTGCGTTTTTGCGCAAGCTCAGCTAAACACGCCCATTTATGTTCGTCTACATCATGGTAATTGCGCTCTAAGCACCTTTGTGTTTCTTATGTCTAATCTAATACGCTTCAATTAGTTTTACCTGAGGCTGCGATATTCAATTTGAGACGAACAACCATTCTGTAGGTAAAAGATAAGCTCAGCAATGTTACCTACGTGATTACTGGAACAATATTCAATAAGCAAAACACCATATTATATGGATAATGTCAAGGAGACTGGATATTTTGAAACCGTTGAAGACGTTATGATGATCGGTCATGATCAAAACTTATTTCTATAATGCATTTTTATCGCCAAAAAGCAATGTCTACATTTGCAAAACGTAGCAAAGCACTCCCAAAACAAAAATCAAATTCTGCGGACAGCCACACGGGGCTCATTTATCTTCCGTCTATCACATTCTCTTATCAAGTTTTTCCCTTTTCCCCTTCTCACCTTTTTTCTTCCTCCTGCTGGGTGTGGGCGCGTGGCTCTTCCCCGGTATGGGCCCGGCCTGCTGGGCGGTCAGGGCCGGCGGTGCGGGACTCGGCGGTCTCTTGGTCGGCTGGTTCTGATAGCCGGCTGGCGGAGGAAGGATCTGAGTGGGCGGCAGCGGCGGCGGCACACTGACCGGCAGCGGCGGCGGCATGCTCACAGACGGAGGAGCGAACGACGGTGGCGTGCGCCGGCCGTGCGCGTGCAGACCCAGCACGCTGGGCTCCGAGTGGGTCTCCCGCATCCGCTCGTTGTAGATGGTCTTGTCGTGCTTTTCCTTCATCATGTCGGCGTAGAGACCTTTGTCGTAGAGTCGCTGGTGTTTCAGAGGATCGTAGCGGGCTCCGGGAGGCACGTGCTGCTGAGACGGGTGCTGGCCAGGGTGCTGGCCAGGGTGCTGGCCAGGGTGCTGTCCAGGGTGTTGCCCAGGGTGCTGACTAGGATGTTGACTAGGATGCTGATTAGGATGCTGACTAGGATGCTGACCGGGGTGCTGGCCGGGGTGGGACTGGCCGGACAGCTGCTGCATCTGGTGCTGCTGACTCGAGTGCTGGTTCGGGTGCTGCTGACCAGCCTGCTGCTGACCAGGGTGCTGGTTGGAGCGCGGATCCATCTGCTGCGCCGAGTGCAGCTGCTGGGCCGAGTGCGCCTGGCTCATGTGCTGGCCCTGGCTGCTGTGCGGCGGCCCCAGCAGCTGCTGCTGACTGTGAGGCGGTACCATGTGCGACTGTAGACTGTGCTGAGGGGTGCGCGAAGAGTGCATACTGGCCCCGTGGTGCAGCGTCGCCGCGTGGTGCGGATGAGACGACTTGTAGTGGCTGAGCTGGACATCGTGCACGTCCAGAGGGTCGCGGATCTTGTGCTCCGGCTTCCTGCGACCCAATGTGTTGGACAGCGGGTAACACTGGACTCGAGGGTCGAGCTGCTCGAACCGCCGCCGGCTGCCGCCCCCGCCGCCGCCCCCGCCCAGGCCGCCCAGGTCGTAACTGGAGAGCGGCGGCTGGGGGCGCGAGGAGGAGAGGGGCGGACCGCCGCCGCCCCCGCCGCCGCCGCCGCCGTAGTACCGCATCTCCTCATAGCGGGAGACCTTCTTGTACTCGCGTACCAGGTACTCTGGGGGCAGCCGATCTCGCATGTACTCCCTGCAAATGGAACACACGTTAGTGAGTACGAACATGAGCACCAAAGGTGACTTTACTCAGGCTAAGGCCCATGAGTTGCTGTGGCATTGCACTGCACGAACATCAAACACGTATGTAAGACGGAATGTGCTATTTAAAAGCACTTGCTATATTGCTGCATTTTACCCAAATATTGCATTCTTTTTAGCCTCGCTAACGATAAGTGAGCTAAGAGGAAGGTCAACGGGAAGAGCGAGACTTGTTGATACTAATTCATGATAGTTTAACCCTATTCCTGGCGGGGGGCCTCAGGAGCCCCCCCCCCCCCCTGAGGTTTTTTGGTTATTTCTCCCAAACGCGTTGAGCTAGGAAGCTCAAATTTTCTGAATTTTCCTAAAAGGCTTCTACGCAACATGTCTGAAAATTTTGAGTTGATCTGACCTCAGGTCAGGTCACCAAAGGCGGTTTGGTGACCCTACCTCAGAAAAGTTTGCAATCACGCCAGAGCTAGAGTTTTTGACCGATCAATTTCTTCTCTTCAGGCTTTAGTTAGGGTACCAGTATGTGCAGTTTGTATATCTCGGAATTTTGATATCGGTGACCTAAGGTCAGGTCAGTTTCGCGACCTCCCCATTATAAGTCAATGGGGGAAAAATCAACTCCCTGTTTTTACCACTAAAACGGGTCGGAATGGCCCCATATACCATACATGACTTCATATACGATCAACCTTCACTACCTTGAGGTCTGTTTTGCTGTTGGGCAGCTGTGAGGTCATGTGACGTCATCAAAGGTCACCAAAGGTTTTTGGCCAATAACTCCGTACAGGAACAAGATACAGACGCGTGGATGGTCTCATTGTGTTCAACTCGTCAAGACGCATCGAATGATATACATGATGACCTCGAGGTCACGTGACCTGAGGTCAACCTTTGACCTTGACCTTCCGAGGTCAACATATATATCATTCGATGCGGATTGACGAGAGGATCACGATGATGCCCTTAGTTTGTTCCTATCTTGACTAATTCGAAAGTTATTCGAGAAAAACTCTCCATATCTAGCGCCGCCATTTTGACTTTTTCGACCCCTGTGACGTCATCTTTGACCTGACCTGAAAATGACCTTAGTAAAAATTGTAGACCTTGTCCATGCGTATCCGATGCCGTTTACCGCTTGTCGCTATCTTGCTTCGTTCTCGAGATCTCAGGGGGGGGGGGGCCGAATCGGCCCCCCCCCCGCCAGTTTCTTGTCCCGGCGGAGCCCGCCAGGAATAGGGTTAAGAGTATCTTTAAACACCGATTTGGCTTTAACTAACATGGCTGGTAGTTAATACCGACCCAATGCCAAAACTACATTAAAATATGCGCACAGGTCGTGGTGCTCGACATTTACGCAATAAGACCACGGCATAAGCACCGTCTTCATCGTCGTCGTCACGACGTGTTATTTGTGACGTAAATAAAAGTTATAATAGTGATACTGCTTATAAAAAAGACCGACACCATGGTGTTGAAATATTAATTAAATGTCACAAGCCAAAAAAATGTGATAAGTTAGTTGACGGTTAGGAGCGTCGACATTTTGCTAGCACTCCACCATATTAGCTAAACGGCCAAGCCCCAATAATCATCACAATCATAAACAACAACGATGACCTCGGACTTCGGCCCACCACGTCCCAGCGACCACCTGTCTACTGATAACACTGTTACCCCTATTTACCCCTTCCCCTACCGTGGTCACCCACGTCCGGTACTTACAGCTCCCAGATGGGGGTTCGTTTGCCCATGGTGGAACACCGCGGCTTGCTCTCTGACTACCCGACACAGCACAAAGCACACAGCACACAGCACATAGAGCCAAACCTCCACAGTCCACACCCGTTCGCCCGGATCCGGCCGCTCCGTTTAACTGTGTGGTCACCGGCCGTAGCCCCTGTGTAGCTGGTGGCACCTGTGTGACACGCCCAGGGAACTTCCGGCCCGCATCCGGTCCTCCCCGCCCCTCCCCTCCCCTCCCTCCCCAGCGCACACCGCCCGGCGCGCTGTCACGGTCAGTAGCGCGTGCCTCACCAGACGCGCCCAGGTATAATTGGGCAATTCGGAACCACGGGAGAGGTGTCGACCAGTTGGGACGTCCACGGCACATCTGGGGCCCGAGGCTAGAGTAACTGGACTTAAGGAAGGTATCTGACCTGGCGTATCTAGCGTTGCTGACTCAAAGTATCTGGAGTATCTGACCTGGAGTATCTGTCGTCGAGGAATCCGTGGCCTGCCGGCATCCTGCGGGCGTACTCGACAGGGATGACGGTGACGTACGACTGGCCCTTGTCGGCCTGTACGCCCGTCAGCTCACCGGCCGTCCGGTAATCCATCACGCAGGCCGCGCACAACCCCGCCTGGAACGACACGGAACGACAGAGTTACGACACAAACAGTAACGTGTACAATAGCACACAACAACGCTGTTACGACGGACAAAGCCCAATCGGCAACGAAATTGAATGACGGTGTTATAAGGGATACAGTCCCGATTGTAACGCCGCACAGCAACGGAGCTATAACTGACTCAGTCAGGTCCTAAAGGTCACAGGACAACGTTCCGACTCAGATGATGGCAGATGATACGAACAGTGATAACGACAGGCAAGGATGGGGGAAGAAGGGGCAACGGATTACAAGTGGCAAATGGCGAACTACCTATAACATGGGTTTATTGTCACCCGTGTCAATACAGGTCTCCTGTCAGTCGCCGTCATGCATGTCTGCAGTCAGCCGTGTGTCACATATGTCACATGTCATTCATGTATCACAGTCTGGTGTCTGTCGAGACGACACTGCCCTGCCGACCAGGTGGTCGCTGTCTCGCAGGTGACACGGCCCTGATAGGCCCCGAACGCTGTCCGCGGCCCGAGTGCGGTGTTGTCGTTGGCAGACCAAAACGGTGCGCTGTGATGAGGGATCTCTAGAATGCACATAAAGGCCGAGAGACGTGCATTGATAGGCCGAGGGTGCAGACGAGGAATACACAATAGCAGTCGTTTAGTTTAATAGCTAAGCCATCGAATTAGAGTATTGACCGCACACGGCACACTAGATCATCTGATGAAGGATAAGTAGTCCTACAATTTCATAAATGAGTGCGGTGTTGTAGTCCTACAATATCCCACTCAGTGGGATATTATAGTCCTACAATATCCCACTGAGTAAGGGCGCACTTACCCGACTATCTCTCACTACTGAATAGGGATAACTTACCCCCGACCATTTCACACCACTGACTCAAGCCGCACTTACCCGACCATGCCTCAATTAAAAAAAAAAAAATCTCCCACTAGCTCGGGCCGCACTTACCCGACCATCTCCCACTGACTCGGGGTAACTCACCCGACCATCTCCCACTGACTCGGGGTAACTCACCCGACCATCTCCCACTGACTCGGGGCGCACGGGGCTGTCCGTGGTGAAGGTGGAAGGTCTCCTGGCTCCGCGGCTCCCCTGAATCGCCCCCTCGCCTTGTCCCTGTCGAGCCACGACGGCTGAGCATCCAATGGTCCGACGAGGTCACCGGCAGGTCAAAGGTCACCAGCGTGCCGCAGCTGCAGCGTCGACGGGTCACAGCCGGGTCACAGCCGGATCAAAAGGTGCGCACTACGTGAGGGTTTTCCAAAACTGTCGCCAATGCGCAGGAACTTCACTTTACCTCATTCACTGGTCATGGGGCGCGCTAATGCGGTTTCGCGTGCTCGTTTATCACTTCGCGAGACTAGAACTACTGCGTCGTTCTTGAGCTGGTACACCTAACGATCTCCGGTGGCCAGCTGTTCGGCCGACCGACCTGACGCCTATGACGCTCCAGACCGTTCAGCTGAGCCGCGCGCAGGTCTGTCGCCTCTTCCTGTCTCCCCACTTTGCACCACACTCCTCTTCTGCAACACCGACACGATGGGGACACTTGAACTAGTCGGCAAAACTTCAGCTACACCTTCGAATAACACCGATCCGACCGAGGATAGACGAACTGGGAGCCGGTCTTGTGCTGGAGCGAGGAGCGTGCGCCGCTGTCGGCTGGAGTACCGAAATCAATACGGGCCGCGGGGCGGCAGCACTGCTCTCTGACGATCGATGACGGCGGCTCGACGGCGCGGCGGCGGTGGGGAGGGGCGGAGTCGCCACAACGGGGTCAGGTCAGGTCAGGTGGGGGAGGAGCCTTCGCGGCCGGGTCAGGTCAGGTCAGGTGGGGGAGGAGCTGTCGCGGCCGGGTCAGGTCAGGTCATGTGGGGAGGAGGTGGAGCCTCGGTGGTCGGGTCAGGTCAGGTCAGCGTGGGAAGGAGGGGGCAGGTAAGGTCGGTTCAGATGGAAGAGGACGGATCAGGTCAGGTGAGGTGGGGAGGGCGGAGCCACCGCCGTGGGGTCAGCTCAAATGGGGAGGGCGGAGCCTCGGCGGCTGGGTCAGGTCACTAGTCAGGTTAGCTGGGGAGGGGTGACCGGGTCAGATCAGGTCAGGTCAATTGGGAGAGGATGGGACTACCGCGGCCGGGTAAAGTCATGTCAGGTGGGCAGGGTAAGGTTGTACGTCAGGTCAGGTGTGGAGGGGCTTAGATCTGTAGAATGATGCGGTGCGCTTAGACGGCTTCGTGACAAAATAGCGAAAGACAGATTTATCGGTACCATATATTGTTTGCCTTATCTATGACTTTGCTTAATGTATCTAAATGCGGGACATTAAATGCTCCCCCATGCAGTCAATGGCATTTTGCTAAAAAAAAAACTGATGTAGTCGATTCCAATTTTCGTTTCCGATGTCTTGCGTTCGATATTTTGCCTTTTGAATATTTTGCATTCAATGCGTTGCCTCTTCGATGTTTTGCTTTCGATGCTTATTTATTTTCTATATATTGCTCTGGATATTTTGTCTTTTTGATGTTCTGCTTGACATTTCCCCCGATACACTGCTTTATAATACCTATATATATATTTTTTTTTGTATACACAGCGTCATCAACGTGACAAACCTCACTTTTATTTAACCCTCGCCCTGGCAGGGCATTTTTCATAACACGGCCTGGCAGGGGGGGGGGGTCGATGCGACCCCCCCCCCTCGCGATTGGCTCCTATGGCACCTAGAACTACCAAATTTGGTAGGTAGGTGGGTCCCCTGGTGTTCTCGCCCCTGTGCAAATTTGGTTGCTCTAGGTCAATATTTAGGGGGGTTTTGGGGGGTATAAATGTAAAAATTTCGCTAAAAACAGGTCAAAAGTTTTTCGCTTATAACTTTTGATCTAATTATGATAGAGCAAAAACAAAAGCACCAGTAAACTCAGCACGTCAAGGCGCGTCGAATGATATACTTTTTAGCTTGCTTAAGTGTACTTAAAGTTTTTCTTAAATTTTAAGTAAACTTAAATTAATAAATTAAGTTCAAGTTAGCCAAATTGCATCATATCGCATATCATTCGATTCGGCTGATCACCAGGAACACAATGATACCATTTTTTAAGCTCTAGCGTCATTATGTGCCAAGTTATTGGCAAAAACGTCATTTGACCTCACTTGACCTCATTTGACCTGACCCATGGATAAGTACACCAAACAAAGAAGCACCAAGTGACCTGCTGTTAAGTACTGTGGTTTCAAAGCACAAAAGTGATAGAACGAAGCGGATATCTCCAGTATTTTCCGAATTTAGTATTTTCCCATAGGCTTAACATTACGACGTAATGACCTCTAACTGACCTCAGGTCAGTGACCTAAAAAAAACCGGAATATATGTTATACAACTCGGTGAACTTAGCACATCCTGAAAGTTTGAAGGAAATCAGTCGAAAACTGTGAGTTGGACAGGTGCAAAAAGAAAATTGAAATTTGACCATGACCTTGTACCGGTTTTTCTGACCTGGTGACCTGACCCAAGGTGACCCGGACCTGAAATTTTCAGGTAATATGTAAAAAGGTTGCCCCATAGGCTGTGCCAAATTTGGCGGCGCTGCGCGCCGCCGTTTTTACGCTATCTTCGAAAAACCTTAGGGGGGGGTCGCATCGACCCCCCCCCTGCCAGGGCGAGGGTTAAGTTGGATCTTGTAGTTGTGACATCAACCACAAGTTTAGGTCAGATCAAGTCACTAAGCTATGACGTCATAAGTAAATCTCTGCACGGTATACAGAATAACAGATGTCAAAACTTCGCAACACCCCAGTGCTTGGGAATCTTACGCAGGGAAATGAAACTTGGAGGATGGAGTGACCTCGGCAACAACTTGCGCATTTCAGATTTTTCCTCAGGGTCACACAAGGTCAGACCACCGCAGTCTGCTCCTCCACCTCCCCTTATCGCAAATCGAGCCCTAGTCTAGCGCATGCTTGCACGTTTACCCATGACGGTTTGAGGATTTTCCTTCTCTTACGCTCCTGTCATCTATAGTCAGGCTATGAAACTAGACCTTCGTTGGCTGGCCGCCATCGTTCTCCATTTCCAGTTGTTCACGGGGTAACCGGACAAAAGATCGTAAAGCAGAAGATCGTAATGCAGAAGATCGTAAGGCAGAAGATCGTAAGGCAGAAGATTGTAGGAATTTTCTGATCGAAAATTCGATTTTGATTTCCAGATTTGAGATTTCGATTCTGATCGAAAGCAGAATCGTAGGAAGTTCTGTCTGCTGAGCTTGTTACAGAAAACGGATATTATTAGCTATGCAATTCTGGGTAACTAATTGAAGAAAACTTTGCGCTCAGCGTGAAATGCATATTGCGTGGTCTACCTACACCGATATTGGTATAGGAGGAATGAACAAGTATTTACGTAGCGATTTTATTTTTTGGATAGCAGATAAAAACCCGAGTATTTTGTATTGGAAGCCCGTCATAAATCCATTCAGTGACATTTCATTTTCAGAATAGGTATGTCTTGGGTATGTCACTAGAAGAATATCCAGCATAGCGACACCCAGAAGAAGCTATTAATATTCTGTTCCATATCTGCTTGTCTGTTTGCCAGCTGCAGTCCTGACCTTTCCCGTCTGTCGACATTTCAAGCGAGTAGAATTTAGCGTCAGATGCCAGGTACAAGTTGTCTTTATCTGGGCATGACAGGCCTTCTGAGAGCTCAGACATATGGCCATGTACCTAATCGGTGGTGACCTGTTCCTTCGCAACATAATATTCCCGAGGTGTTATTTAGAGCCGCTGACGGGATACTTTGTCTGTTGTCGCTATGTATGAACGATCGACTGTATTCGTATTCAGTTTCATACACTTAGATTTGATTCTACATTGGATGCGAATGTCATTGGTAAAATATGAAATGTTGGTAAAAGATGAAATGTTATATGCTTTCACCCCCTCCCCAAAAAAGCAAATGTGCGGGAAACATCTGTATGGAATGTGCACTGCATGTCGAATCATAGCAAATATGTATATTTTGTGAAGCAATCACAACTTTTATGTCATTTCCTTATAACACCCTAAATACCTATTCAAAACATTTTGATTTCAAAGGTTTTTGCGCAGGCATGCGCTGCCTATACCTACTTATTTGTAATATTTTTTCAATATCATCCTCAGGCACCGGTAGAAGGCATCGACAAGGTCGAGGGGTGGGCACTGGGTTCGTAATGTTACCGCAGTAAAAAAAAAAAACGTTTAGCGTAGTACCCGGACCCACAGCCTTGCATTCGTCCATTACAGCCAATTTTCTAAACGGTATCTTGATTTTCAAAGCAATGTAATATGCTGAAACGCACATAAATGGATACAAAATGCATTACATAGAACTTGATAGCACTTTTCACTGTATAACATACCAAACAATAACATAGCGTCTGGGAGGTGCTAACATTATACTCATTTCAACCATCCCATCAAAACCAACAATAACATCACCTCACACAACCATTATTTTTCTTTTTCTGCAGCTCCTCGTTTGATGTTGTGCAGGGCACCATTCGGCGTGTACAAAGCGTGTGCCTTGTTGTTCTCATCCCCTCCGCTCGGCTGTATTCCGGACGTCGGTGCGAGACTGTATCAGAAGTATGGAGAGAGGCCATCTGCACGCGGCGCACCCTTCCCGTAATGGGGTGCTCAGTATTCTCAACACTGGCTCAATATCCGCGCTGCCATTTCCTTCTTTCATTATATGGCAGAGGCGTGGCAAAACTGTGAACTGACGCCACCCATACGGGCCGCGCCCCGTCCCCAGAGAGGCGCCTGTGGACGGGAAGCGGGCAGCTCTCCACGAGTGGATGGAGCGCTCAGGTAGATACACTGTGCGGCGAATTTCCGGGCTGAGAGAGTTTGTTTAGACCGCTTGAGCAAACACGGCAAGCTACGCACAATGATACTGAGTGGGTCCACGCTGCGCTGTCAACCGACATCAAAGAAAATGGCAAACGCTAGAGCTTTCAAGCCGTCGCCATCATTGTGTGCTCGTTGAATCAATTACCTCGACGCGGTAGTTATTCAAAACTATACACTCTTGAGTCTAGGAGAGATACAGTCTGAAGTCTAGGAGAGACTACTAGTAAGTTCTGAAGACTATTGTCTATCAGAGACTACTCGTTAGATACTGTTCGAGACAGCTGTTAAGGGACCATCAAAGTCAGACACCAAGAGACTTCAGGGATTGTGGCCTAGACTGTCCAGACTCTTACGTCACACTTCCTGCAGGGGAGACCTGCCGAAGATTAGGACTTAGACTTGACGATGCCTTCTTATACGCACACGACTGCGTCTACGGCCCAAAGCCAGAGTATTCCTGGCAGACTGACAGGCTCAGACTGTGATACATTTTATCTTTAAAATCTACCACTCAGAGAGTTCCCGAGACTGGCCGAGAGACGCCAGAGACTACGCCTCAGAGACTTCAGTCTGGCTGTTGGCGACGTTCGCCGCTCTCACTGAAGCACGTCGCCGAGTTAAGTGAAACGGCCGCCATAGGGTCACCATTAAATAGCGATTAACTGGAGCGTAAAGCTATCCATTAGTGGTTGATAGATGACATTTTTAGCCGCCGTTTTTGCTCATGGCTGGCAACAGACTCCTGATACTGAGCGGCGGCCG